GGTATCCGGCGTCCATTGAGATCACTGATGACAGAACAGGTCTTCTCGTGGCTGAGTTTACCACAAGAAGAGTATTAAAGCATTACATTAAAGGTAATTATGACAACACTTTTATTTAATTAATTTCTATTTTTATACCTATCTATCTATTTCTCGTTTGTGTTTCTAATACATTGTTAAACACAATATAATTAATTTCAATAGTAGTGTTAACTTATATTTTTATAAATTATTGCTCTTAAGTGCATTAATCTTTAGGTTTCATATATCATGATAAGTTAATTATTATCTTTTAATTTCAAACAAACAATTAATTACTTTGAGAGAAATCAATGAAATTTTCACATTTGATTTGAGATTCAAAAGAGATATTCAAAACAAAATATATAATTAAAGAATAGAAAGATTAAATTTTATTTACTTCTTACGTTTGTTAAAAATATAATATACCATAGTTTCGGTATAGTGGTGGCATAATAGTAGTCATTCAACAACTTACTCATTGGTTTTGGTTTGGAAAACATCCAAACACTTCCTAAGTGTGACAAAACCATAATAACGTAAAGCCATTGTTATGTTAATAGAATTGTATACAACTTTTGTTATCACAAACATATTACAGATGAAGTCATTTATATAATATTTAATAATTCATTGTTTGAGAAAAGAGTTTTCTGTTTGAAATGAAAATTGTTTTTCATATGAATATTAAGGAGCAAAAAAGGGAACGACAGAAGTGTGGGCTGAAAACCTTCCGGGAGAGAGCGATCATCTCATCAGAAGTCTCGATAAGACTCGTGAGACATATTGGATGCCTGTTGTGAACGCCAGGAATGAGAGTAAACCTAATTTACTCGATTGGATGAGCGATAAGCCGTATCTGAGGCAAGAGATCTTAGAGAAGTACCAAAAGCTGGGATCAAGTATTGAGGAGATGGGCCAACAGTATAAGAACGAAGGGTTGGAAAAGTTAGGCTTCACTCTCAAGACTGGCCAACAGTTTTACACACAAAACGTGGCCAATAATTATGGTATGATCTTGGAGTTGGACGCCAACGGAAACATTATCGGTTCAATACATTCAACCAATGGAGTCAACAGCTTTATATCGGAAGCGGTTGAGGGCTATAGTGATAACCCGGATGAACGTGTTCTCTACATCGGATCCTTTGGTTATCCCTATATTCTCAAACTCATTGTCAAGAAACCAATTTATGATTTACCAGTTTTTAACACTTTGAGAGGCGAGGAGTCGTCCTATGATTTGGATCCTAAACAAGGCGTTCAATACACGGCTTATTCAAAACCCATGACATTTGATGACTTGAAGTTTGTGGACATACCTACTCTTCTGAAGTCGTGGCAGACATTACAAACTGAACCCAAACAAAAAAGTTAAGATTTATATATTTTTTATATAGAGTTTTTAAAATGAGACAAATTTTTATAATAAATATTCCACTTTTGGAAATATATTATAACATTAATAATAAGCCATTAATAGATAAGATTGTAAAGTAATCAATTGCCTTTTTATACAATAGTTGATTTTAATCTATTATATTTTTATATATTTTGATGTATTGTACTGTATATCCCATTCATTGTTGTATTATTTTTACGTTCAATATTCATTGTAATGCCATAAATAAACTCAACTATTTTTACATAAGTATTTATTAAGTGATCGTGTATACTTTGTACAGTAAACTTCATGTTACATGGTTAAATAACTTAAAATATTTGACTTAACATTTTTAAATATAAACCAACGATATAACTTTGAAATAATAAGAATAAATTTTTTTATTAATTTTCAAACTCTTAATTAGTCTTGAACAAAATATTAAGTAAATATATTATGAATACATTAATATTATCCGGATCGATAGGGATCCATATCTTAAAATAAAACTTTAAAAATGATAAATATAGTTAAATTAATAATTAATTAAATGATTAGTGCTTTTTAATTAAATAAAAATTAATTTCAATTATGACGATAAATAACATAAAGACTAGAGATTACTCGTTTACAATTACAGTACTTTCTTTACTATATGACATACAAGTTAGTGTTAATTTTCATAAAAACATGTAATTATCTTGAACTAGTACGTTTAATTTTACTATTTTTATATATGCCCATTCTTCACTCACTGTACAAACTGTAAATGCCATGATGATGAATTAGATACAAGCACGTTCCAAATACTGTAATTCATTTTAATTTGATTAATGTTTAGTCAATCAGGCTTGTAATTAAAAGAAAATTATACAGTAGTATTAATATAGCCAACTATAAAAGCACACAAGGTTTAATATATTTAAAGTTTTTTAAATTTAATTTAAACTATAATAACGAAAGTAAGTGAACATAAAGTTTTTTCTTTTCTTTTTTGTGAATATTTTTAATGCATTTCAACAATAATTGAGAAGTAAGTGACAATTCCGGTCAGAATCTGCGATATATAAAGTATATAACTATTAACTATGGTAAAAACTTATTAAATTACTTGCAATATACTAAATTAAAATTAAGATAATAATGATTACATACACTGGAGAGCACACCACCTGATGCCACAAAGCCATCCAAAATAGTCATACCAATGGTGCCGCCACTAAGTCTTTCCACAAACAACTGGACCTATAATTACATATAGATTAATTGGTTTATAATTAGGAATACTATTATAAATTTATATTTAAATTCCAATAATGATGACTACTGTGAATGTATGCTTACCTGCATCTGGACCTCATCCGAAATGACCATTTCCCCCACACCATGCACCACATGATAGGGGAATACTCGGTAACTACATTAGAAGCGGCTTGTCTATCTCTAGTTATTATAAACTTCCCGAAGCCGTTGCTACATCTACTGTCGGTGAGGAAAGTGGATTAATATCTTTTAACGTTAAATAAATTAAACCTTTATCATTTATTTAATTTGTCTATAAGTTATCCAGCTATACTGACTGGTAGTGGATTATTAACAGTGGATATCTGATAGAATAGATAGCATTCGTGAGACACCATAAGGGAGAAGAAGAAGAAGATGTATTTCTTGAAGTACTGATTGGAACCGATAACCATATCGCACACAATGTAGTGCTTCTCGAAAAGTTTGGCCAAAACCCATGAATCGGACGGCGGTTTACTTCGGATGGAGTGCTCGAAGTCATTGTATACTTCACTGAATCGTATGATTATAGCCCGAGTGAAGAGAGTGTACTGAAAGAGCGCCGTCACGTTGACCACCGATGCGATCACACACCAGAGCACATATACCACACTCCACACCACGTATATTACTGTCGACCCATTCATCGATGAGAAGTGATAGACACCACCCGTAATGCTAAGCATCGTTATGAATAAGACATAACAGGCCACTGACCACTTGATAATCTTGACACTCGTGGCAACCGTCTTAACCAAATTATCAACAATTTTCTTCTCAGGGTTTGGACTTCTGAAGAATGTATTCTTCCAGTTCTCATCAAATCTCAACACCCATTCCCGCGGTTTATTGCCATTTCTGAAAGTATTTATTAATTTGATAATACATAGAGTGTAAGAAATAAATTTTTAAAAAGTATATCATTTATTATATTCATAATTTATTTATGAACATATAACTGACCCTGATATCAGTGAATAAACAAAAGCTGCAAGAAAGCCCCAACTGATTAAGAATGAGTTGAAATAGAGGCGACTGAATGCCGAGCCATAGAATTTCGACAAATCACCGAAAATAAGCAATAAATCAGTGGATGTATTGCTGACAATGATCTGACAAACAAGTGTTTTGACGGCAAACGCGTATAAAAATAGTTTTATTGCCAAAACTACGGACGCGTTGGGACTCCCGTTGGTTTTGTCGGACGGCTGAACCAAATTAGCGCCCAATCTATGGCTCCAAACTTCAATCTTTCTGATTTGATCGGTTATGATGTTTGTTGACCGCATTTTAGTGTCCTTTCGGTCAATAGTGTAACCAGTATTCGGGTTATTGTTCGGTAGTTCTATTGATGAAACTTTTGCCATCTTATTGAAAGTTTGCAACAATTTTGAGTTTTAATAGTTTTATATTTTTAAATGAATACTATTTTTGTTAATCTTCAAATAAATAATGATATAAACATAATCATTTATATTGTTTATATGCAATTTTAAATCGCCATGCAATGTTAAATATTATGATTTTATTCTTATTTGACTGAAATTTATATTAAATAAAGAATATAATAAAATTGATGATAATATTTCAGATTAAATAAATAAATAATGGTATTGGGTTTATATTTTGAAATGAAAATTCTCTAAATTACTATGTACCGTATAATATACACTATTATGTACAATGTATACTATCTGTGTATGCCACTGTACATTAAATATTAGTAAGATCATTAAATATATATTATTTTTTTATAAAATATCAATATTCCGATTTGTGGAATTATAAAAATAATTTATTGGAAATTTATGACTAATCTAACTAAAAAATACACAATTTATCCATGAAAACAGTAATTTAAATAATAATAAAATAAATTATTCTAATATTTAATAATTTAGTTTGTACTGTATAACTTAGCCAACACACCGTTTCATAAAATGATAATTAAAATTACGGTATATTATACTTTAAATATGTCGAAGTATAACGACTATTGTAACATTAATATTGTATAATATCTTACACAAGTAAACAACTCTAAAAACAATGTAAATTTTAATTATTTTTATTATAAACTTGTTAATTTTATTTAACATAAATAATTTCGAGAATTTTACTGACTTGTTAAACAATTCATTATATTTATAAATTTTATTCATGTTAAAGAAAAATATTTAATCTTAAAAACAATTTAAATTCATTTTACAATATATTAGTTTTATAAAATTTGAAATAGATATTAATGTAAAATAAAATGTTTGGTTCGCTTAATCTGGAGTTTTAATATAGGTTTCACTGTTAAACGAACTTTTAAATATAATATTTAAGCATAAAATCTAAAAACATGTCTAAAGTTTACTGTGAATGACAGGTAACTGAAATATCTTCACTAACTTTGGCGCTAATTTGATGTCACCTTTGATTCGTTGAGATGTCATGGCCTGTAAATTGTGTCACATTTAAAATTCATATAAATTTATATAATATTACACACCTTTTGGATATCTAATTGATTTAGAGAAATGAGTGCAAAATCCTCGTCTTCGATGACAATAAGTGGTTGTGATGTCTGTTGGCTGTCGAGTGGTTGACGGGTGAATATCCCGCACACTTTATTTTCTGTGAAATCCAGTTCTGGTAGAAAATATTTTTAGATAATTAATTAACTAATAACTTATTAATCAAATATAAAACTGACTCCATTTGGACACAACTTTGCCATCTATAGTGATATCAAAGTAATAGAAACCGCCGACTTCTGCACATAATTGCGGACATTTGACAAACCGTTGAATGAGTCTAAACACCATTATCTCACTCTTAAGACCAGGTATTAAGTCCTATAAAACAATTCATTAGTAATTTAATAAAGAAATTAAGGGCAAGTAAAACATACGCTATTAAACAGAATATTCTCAATATATGGCACTTCCGGTGCCTTCTTCTTCTTGAACGCCGCCTCAACCCAAACGGTGAATAACTTATAGATCGACAGTATCTGTCCCTTCACTTTCATCTTTCCCAACATAAATGCCTATTATGTAAGCAAACGATTAAATAAAATACTTTGAATACAGTATTTGAATGAAATTTGAATATTTTAAATCAAATCAAATACAGACCTTTTGTGGGTTAAACTTATTGACCATCATTTTGGCGAAGTCTTCGTCTCCCATCGTTAGGATACAAACGGGTTTCTCTGGAGATGTTCCCCGATATACGTTCTGACCCAACGGTTTGGTGAAGTCAATGGCTTTAATACAATATATTTTAATGAATTTTATTACAAGAATCGGTTCCAAGAATACAATTCTTACTCCAAACAGATTTGGTCTCATCTTTGGTGATATCAAACTGCATAATACCAGTGAGTTTGCGGACAATGTCTTCCTCCTCATGCATACGATTCTTGAGGGTATGGAATATGATATCACTTTTGAATCCATTAGAAGTGAAATCAAAGAGATCCCATTGATTGCCATTAATAGGCTTATCATGGGTTCCTTTGCTAATGAATTTGAAGTCTTCGTTACACTTGTCTGTCTCGACCCAAAACTGTTGCAACTTTTCCAACGCAACTCTCGTCCCTTTCAATGACATCTTGCGCTCAAAGAATAACTGATTTCATAACAAATCAAAAGTCATCAAGTAACAAACAAATCATTCAAAAGTCCGAAACAATGGTTGAGTGGACACCAACCTTATGCAAGTGACTCTTATTCATAATGGCTTGGATCAGATCACTCTCATCGATGGTGAGACTGCACTTCACCTCATTCTTGGCCTGTCTATACAGAGCACCGGACCCTTGGCTGAGGTCCAGGATCCAAGTGGACACGGAGTTAGGCTTTTGTCTGATATTGATCTGATAGACACAATTAATCTTTTGGGCCAAATCTGGCTTTCGCTGAAGACTTGTATTAACCCACGTCTCGAAAGACCGATCGATATCTATATCCGAAGTCATCATCTGTTGAGGTATACTCTGTGCTGAAGACATGACGCGAACTAAAGCCTGTCTCTCGTCTACTGAAACCCTTTTCTGACAACTATTTGCTTTTGAATCAAAAGTTAAGCAAAAGTTGAGGAAAGTTTTGAAAGTTTTGCAAACTATGAGAATGTGTGCCGTATTTGTGGGGATTTCTCTACTCTATGACCAGTTTATTGTAATTTATTTGCTTTCATTAGTCAATGAGTGTATCATTACTATTGTCTCAAGTGGTGAGCAAAGTGTGTCCCAATCCGTGCCATACATACAGTCACTGTATTTGACAATCACTTGAAGGACAACACCTTTACGTCCACTGAAGGACTGATTGATTTCAAAAAGTTTTCCTCATTAAGTAACCATAGCTACCAAACACTCACTAACCCTCACATACAGTCAAACCCATTAACTATACTCTCATTACAACAATTCATTTAAAAGTATAGATTTGACGGTAATATTGATTGCAATTAAACTAAATAACAATTAATTGAATTGAATGTGAATTATAAGCGAAACATATATTTGTGGCCATAATTGTAGTGAAAGTCAAGTGAGCCGTAAGTGACGTGTATTTGTGTGTCATTTGCTGTACTGTTGTATACATCGTGTTGTCACAGATTGCCATCAATTGTGGTGATAATGGTGTGAATTATCGGATCCCTTGAGCAATAAGATGTCCTCAGAAGACAACTCAATGGCGGAGGCGTTGGAGCCGTCGCTGCAGAACGTGATCGACCAGAAGAGTCTTCGGTGGGTCTAGCAACCCCCGTTTCCTCCGCAGCCCTTCTGCTGCACGTCGACGAGAGACCGGTAGGTTAACAGAAACTGGTCTCTCAGTCAGGAGTAGTAGTCGTGTCTGGGGCGCGTGTTGTAATCGCTACGGAACGACCAGAAGTTCTCCAAAGTGCCCACTCCTGTAGGCCTTACCACCGCATACCCGTCCACTCATGAGTCACTTGAACCCCTTTTAACGACACTTCCGTTTAGTTTAATTCTCTTAAGAGCTAATCGTCTGATCTATAGTTTATTGCTTTTTTAGGTACCATTAGTTTGAATCAAGTGTTTGTTGACAGGGATTCAAGTGATGTGTATATAGCTATGAAATGGTGTAACCCATGTGTCTGTGTGTGAGTACAGGTGCGGGGCTTCAAGAATCTATACGCAATGGAAATCGACCCCAACTTAGGCACCGGTGAACTGCCCGATGAGTTCTTCTCGGAGTCGGATCCCATGCGAATGAGTCGGTCTATGATGCAGGAGCTGTTGGGTGCCTTTCCCGGCATCGATGAGGCGGTCAGTTATGCAGAGGTCATGAAACTCGTCCGATCGATGAACTTCGAGATCGTCGTCTTCGATACGGCGCCTACAGGTCTGCCGGAGCCTCATGTCATGTCATGTCATGTCTATTATCCTTGCAATCATTTCTTATGAATACATTTTTCCCATAATTTGTTTTATTTTGCATTTTATATCGCGTTTAATGAAAATATAAAACTTTATTTTCATTAAATTCTCACAAAATTAATTAATTACTGAAATGATTGTCTCGATTATAGACATATTTGTATACAAATTTCATACAAACACTACTGTTTGCCATGAATTGAGTGAAAGTGTTGTGTAATCTATCGCCGCATTTGTGTTGATAATCAGGTCATACGCTTCGGTTGCTATCATTCCCGGCAGTCGTTGAGAAAGGTTTGGGAAAATTGTTACGAATTAAGAACCAATTGGGACCCATGGTTACCAGCGTGGCCTCCATGTTGGGTATGCCTTACCTGCCTATCGATTACATAACTGTTAACTAATTTCTAAACCAAACAATTGAATTGAATTGATGTCAGGAATGAATGACTTGAACGCAGATGCGATGAACAATAAAATAGAGGAAATTCTGCCGATTATTAAGACAGTGAACGAGCAGTTCCGAGACCCCAATCAGTGCACATTCGTGTGCGTCTGTATAGCGGAGTTCCTGTCCCTCTATGAGACCGAACGGCTGGTCCAGGAGCTCACCCGCGCCAACATCGACACCCATAACATTATTATCAATCAGCTCCTCATGCCTAAGAATGGCGACACCGGCTGCACGATGTGTAGGGCCAGGACTAAGTTGCAGAACAAGTATTTGGATCAAATCAATGACCTCTACGAAGACTTTCATTTAACCAAACTTCCACTTCTCGAGGAGGAGGTCAGAGGTGTCGACAAAGTCAAGTCTTTCAGCAAAAATCTGATCCAACCCTACAAACCATAACTAACAGCCAAATCTGTTGCGACTATTTTATGCTAAAGTAATTCAATTTTATTCAATTGTTTTCATGAAAAGTCCACATATTATACAGTAAAACCAAGTTTTGCTTTTTAATCTAAATATCAATTTGTTTAACAGTTTTTATATTTTCTCTATATTTCGGTTATTAAACAAAGTTTGTATAATAAATTGAGCGATAAATAACAAATAAATTGAATTTGTGATTGATTAGATTT